AACAAGAGCTGTTCATGCAGGGACCTCATCTGGTTCAATCTAGGCAACCAATCACCTTTTTTTTTTTTGTAAACAGTTCTGGGCTCTCCCATCTGACTTCCCCTCAGCCTCATCTTGACTGGATCGTGTGCCCTGCACATTAGGAGTGGTCATTGGTTAGTATGCAAAGCCTAGGGGAATGCAGTAGGAAAGACGGCTATGGGGAAGTTTGAAAAGATTTTCCAGGAACACAACATTGAGCCTGAGGCATTGTTTTTCTGATGAACACAGGGCGTCATTGAAATAATGTAAGGAGTGACTATAAGCTTGTAATTTAGGTGATTATTTAAAATTTGGAACAGAAACCCATAGTGAAATCTTAGATTAGTATGGAAGCTTGTGGAATATACTAAGCAAAAGACTGATACTAAGGGCTGTAGTGGTAGAGGCAGTAGAGTTGACCATGGGTCTCCATGGAAGGATTCTAGCAACCATACTAGTGTGGGCTGAGGAGCTCTGACTTCAGGGCATCAGACCTGGTGATGCTGAGGGTGCTTATGCCACTGCTGGGGGAAAGCACAGGGAGCAACATGTTGTGTTGTTGTACATTCAATTCTGCTAATGCTGAGTTTGAAGACTGGAGAACACACTTCGAAGATGGGACTACTATGGGTTACAGTTTTGAAACATCTTTATTGTTCCAAATCCGTGTCTAGATTATTTTTAAGTTGTGACATTGTGAACATTACAAAGTTTCTAAACAAGTAGTAAAAATTTTATGACACAATATAACACTCAATATTTTCCCTTGATTCCTTTGTTCCATGTCATCTTAATCTTTTCCTCTCTGCTCCCTGAAGGACATTAAGGAAGGGATCCTTTTCTTCCTGAGGCCTCTCTCCAGTTTGATGAGGTCCAAAGGAACAAGATGTTAAGGACAATTTGAAAAGTTTTGCTCTGTTTTTAAGTTGGATTCAGAGGTCCAATCCACATGTCTCTAAGGTATGTCTCTTACCTGTAGTGCTCGATGATAATATCCACTGCTCTCTTATATGGATACCGTGATGGGTACCTCTAGGTTGGATGACCAGGTGGCATTACACAATCAACTCTCAACAGAAGCAAGTTTTGAATATAAAATCCTCATATTGAAAACAGTCCAGTCTACTGGTCTGCCACTGCAGTGTCTGCTCTGTTCTCAATTATTTGGGATTTTGCTTTCTGGTTTTATGCACACTAAAGCACTTTTGATTAATCAACACTTATGTCTCTTCTGTGTGTTGTAAAACAGATACTTTGAAAATTTACAAAATCTGTACAGTTGTATCAAGTGGTTCTTCACTCCATGATTCTTCTCTTTTTATTTTTTCCTTTTTTGAGGCAAGGTTTTATGCATCCCAGGATGGCCTCAAACTTACAATATATCCAAGGAGTGGATGACTTTGAACTCTTGATCCTTCGGCCTCAACTTGTAAGTGCTAGAATTATATGTGTGCACTATGGCACCATAGCTAGATTTTTCTCTTAATCTTTAAAATTTGGTTAGCTCTCAATTAAGTGTCCTTTAAAAAGGTGATCTCTCTCTCTCTGTATATATATATATATATATATATATATATACACACACACATATGTGTGTATACATGTGTATAAATGTATAATATATAAAGAGATACAAGGATTTTTTCATTTTATGAATCTACAGCGCCCTTTACATCTGTCTGTCTGTCTATCTATCTATCTATCTATCTATCTATCTATCTATCTATTACCTGTTTGTTTGAGGCAGGATTTCTCTACATAGTCCTGGCTGTCCTGGAACTCACTACATACACCAGGCTGGCCTTAAACTCACAGAAATGTGTCTGACTCTGCCACCAAGGTCTGGAATTGAAGGCTTGCACCACTATGCCTGCCTACTTTTATTTTTGTTTTGTCTGCATGTATGTGTGTGTACCATGTGTGTGCAGTGCTCATGGAGGCCAGAGAAGGCATTGGATCCCTTGGGGACTGCAGTTACAGATGGCTGTGATCTGTCACACTGGTGCTGGGACTGGGACTGGAAGAGCAACCAGTGCTTTTAACTGCTGAGTCATTTCTCCAGTGTTTTATTTATTAAATTAAAACAGTTTGTAGGAGTTTGTGTGTGTGTGTGTGGGGGTGCATACCACAGTACATAAGTGGAGGACAGAGGACAACTTTGTGGAGTTGGTTCTCTTCTGCTTTTATATGGATTCCAGGGATCAGACTTGGGTCATCAGGACTTGCATTGTTCTGAAGACACACCTTTATTGAGATATCTTGACCACCACAGCATCTCTTATGTTTCAGAAATGGAAAAGGATAGGCAAGAGTCTCAATCCAGTCCAGGCTGACATAGAAGTCACTACAGGGGCATGCTGGCTTCAAACCCATAATAGTCTTCTGCTTCAGCCTCCTAAGTGCTGAGATTACAGATGTGATCCACTATGCCTGAGTGATAATTGTAGTTGTATACATTATATATAACATACCATTTACCATAAGAGCTGGCTTGAAGCATCCAGTTCAGTAGGGCTGAGTGTAATGCAACCATCTGGAGACCCACTAATGACATCCCAGAATGAAGGCCCCAGAAGTGAAGTTTCTCTGACTAGCCCCTCTCCTTCTGCCTCATCTCATGTTATCCTCAGAGGCAAGCCACAGAAAGCAGAATTCCTCTTTGTTAAGGGAGGACTAGGAACTAGAATCATTCCTTTCAAGTCAGCCTGAAGAATCTTGTCACAAAATGATCAAATGAATTTGCCAAGGTTTAACTTTTCCTTTGTTCATCTGACAACTACTAGTTTGTTCTGTCAGAGTAAACTGTCTAACCTTTGGAGGGAAAGTACGGACTTTTTGACACAGTGTATAGTTTTCATTCTGAAAATCTGAAAATGGCATCATCAAGCTATCCCCCTCCCAATTTCCCCCTCACATGGGCCTTCATGGCCATCACTCTACTGTCTCCTTAAAGTAAGTACTCTGGGTACCTTATTAAAGTCCAACCATACAACGCTTACTTTTTGTCTTTTCTTGCTTTTGGTTCGTGTTCTTGGGTGGGATTTAAGCCCACTTGAGACATTGTCTCTTTGTGTATCCATTGGCAGGGACCTCAGGGCCTCCTTGATAACATGCTGCGGCTTTGCTTCTCCCACCCGGGAGATCAGATATAATGAAAGAACACTAATCACACGAAACTTTTAATCATTTCCCTTTCCTTAGATTACCAATAGGTATATTCCAGCATCCTGCATGTGGAAAGACTGTGAACAAGGCATCGCAAACATTGAAAGTTCAGACGAGGGGAAAACAACCACCCTGGAATTTTGGCATTTATATTTTACGCTGAAGGAAATAATACATTTGTCGGATATGACTAAATAGAGAGAGAAGTCCTTAGGAAAGCTGCAATCTGGTAAACGAGTCTCTCCTAAGATAGTTCTCATGGCATGGCCTTGTATGGTTTGAAACCAAAGCTGTGATCTTGAAAAGTTGGCTAGGACTTTGGTCGGTGACACTGGTTCTGGCTCAGAGGAGCCTCTTTGCAGCAGTGTCATTTTGTGGGTTTAGGCTCAAGGATAGGTGAGCATTTCAGGGTCAGCATTGGCCAAAATGCCACAGGTTAGTGATCTGACCCAGCTCTAACCCACAGCAGGAGCAGGAAGTCACAGCCTGGCTTAGACACATGTCAGTAGAAACTTTTTTTGCCACGGGAAGATCTCACATCCTAAGTGCTTGGCACACAGCTGGCACTTAGCACAGTGTCCACCATACAGGAGGAACTAAAGTACTAACTAATGGCGGTGTAAAAGAAAACAGAAGGGGTCACTCTTATCTTTAAGCCTCCAAATATTTCATTTGTTACCCTGTGGTTTGAGTCAATTTCTGTGGTTAACACAGAAAAACAGCTTAGTATATTGAAGCAGCATTCTTGAGATCCCGGGGGAGATTAAACAGGTACAAACAGGTTTGAGATATTATACCCCTCATCCAAATACTATGGTCGTTAAACCATTTTTGAATTTTTATTTCAGTTTGTCATCTTCTACCAATTTAACATTTTGTTCCTGTTGCTTCAAAAACATTTTGGAAAAGCTAGAATGAAGCATTATAATTTAGGAGAGAGAAAAGCAAATCTGGTCACAGCAGTCTCTTTTCCTTCTAATTGAAACACCAGGAACTAGAAATATGCAGGAATAGAATGACACAGAATCCATGCAACTGGAAAATGTGGTTAGCAGTGGCTTTGCGGGGAGTCGGGCTCTGTTTCACATTCAGTTGTCAATACAGCCCATTCCTCTGCATGTGAGCATTGTGGCCCCCTGTCGGGGGGAGAGTTTGGAATGAGATCGGGAACTCTGAGGAAAGAGGCAGAAATTAGAAATTAGGCTGGCTGGCTTCTGGATGACTTCTTCAGTAGATGGGCTTTTGAAGATGGAGGTAGAATTTAAAAGACAGTGCCTTCCAAGTTTGGGGCTGCTGAGATGGCTCAGCGGGTGAAAGCTTCTGCTGCACTTACCTGACCACTTGGGTTCAGTCCCCACAACACACCCCTTAAGGAAGGAACAGATGCCTGAAGGCTGACCTCTGACCTCAACACGCACACTCTGACACTCTCTGACTCCATGTGCCACATAATAAATAAGAGCTTTCAAAAGAAAACAAGACCTCTGGGTTTCTACAGATGCAATGGATTGTTTGTTAGTGGCTTGTAGGTATTAGACAATCATCTAACAATGGCTAGTCTGTATTTAGGAGTTAGAGCAGGCCTGGGATTACTAACGTTTTGGCCACTTCAGGTTCATTTTCCTGTAGAGTGTTTGGAAACACCTTGTCCACACACATCGCTGGTGTTTATTTTTTCAGTTTTTTGTTACGTTTTTGACACGCTATTGCAAAGGCACAGGAAAGAGGTGCAGTAGTGATAATTAAACCTAAGAGAACTCGCTGTTCTTGTTTAAGGTTAGTTTCTTATTTTATATGTATTTCACTCTAACCAGGTCCGGACCGTGAGATTTTAAGGAGTCCTGGCCACATGGGTGAAGCCAGTGACTTACCAGACACCAGTGGGAGAAAAATGCAAATGGCGAAACGTGTCTTTTCCAGTGTGGTTACAGAAATGAAGCAGGTACACAATACATCAGCTAATTAGTAAACGTCAGTGACCTGTACTAATCACTTGGTGTTTGTTATCAGTTTGTACCCAAAACTCATTTGACTTGCAACTTCTTGGAGAAGGAAAACATTCCTGGGCCCCCTGAGATGAACATGTGTGCGGAAGGTCATGGTTGAGCTGCCCCCAACACTCATGGTCTCCTTTTATAGTGGAAACTTTTTACTTCATGCTGTTATAAGACCAAACACTAAGCCATCAGTGGGTCTATTCTGGCCACATTTTGTTGTGGCCTAACTTAGGTGACTGAGTGATAATAGGATTGATAAAAGACACTGTCTAAGTTATGGATGATAACTCTCGTCTACCTTTATGAGGGGGTCACACAAATGAGAATGGAATAATTAGGATGGGGAAGAACTGGAAGTGGAGATTGGATCTCGTGTCATCGTGTGAGCTGTACTCAGTTCTGGCTGAAGACAGCATCACTTTCTGCACTATAGTTATGGGGGCAGTGCATTCTCATTTTTACCTAAGATATTTGTATCAGTTTCCAGCACCTCGAGTCATCCAGAGATCAGCTTGTGAAATAGATCCTGCAGACAGAGGTCAGAAACATGCTATTAAGAGGGATGACATGAACGAGGCTGATGAGAAATATAGCACACTGACAATACTTAGACAACAGCAAGGAGACCTTTATGCTTGGTGCAAAGGCTGGGGCTAGAAAACACTCTCAGATGTTTAAAGTAAGATCAAGTCCTAAAGAGTCTAAGAAGTCTGGCACAAGAGTTTAGAGTCAGCGAGAAGAAGATAACACCTTAGACATAGTGTTAGGGAATCCTATTTTTAGTTGATATAGCTTCTTTTTCAACACATTAGAGAGTATCTAAAACATAGGATGAGCACTTATCATAGATTTATAGCACTCACCATGAATATGATAAAAGCAAAATAATGTTTAAACCAGTTAAGTCCTTGACTTCTATAGACGTTAACCCACTGATCTAGTTGGGGGTTCCACATCGTTCACCCAATCTGCATATTTGAACTATGAGTAGAGGAGCTTAACACCAGGCACACATTTTACTTTCCTGGTTTGAGCTGTTCCAGTCTTAAAATGTAGGGATTCAGCAGCAACATTATGGCTTTTTGTAGTGATAGTGTAGATTGGTCCACGACCCTTTTTACTTACACCAACTTTTGTGGAAAACATGAATCATGCCTTTTTTTGTCTGTTCTGTCTACTCTATTTCTCTCTGCCCTACCTGGACTTCCTTTTTCTTCTGGCTTGATGTTCTAATGGACAGGGTCTTCCACACTGTCTACCTGTCATTAAACCAGGTATAAGGCATGGCCTAATCTTTTCCCAGGATCTTAACCTTGGCCTAATCCCAGTCATAAATGCATATTCTGTTTACAATCTCTTCATGGGAAGTCTTGGCTAGACCATAGATTTGTTTTATAGGTTTTTAGATGTGAGCCATGTGTCAGTTTTATCAGCCTGTTTTGCATGGAAGAAGTTTAGGCAGTACCATGGAACTGCTGGACGGATCATGGAAAAGGCCAGAGGGTTGCCCTGTTGGTCTTCCCTTCCTCTCCAAAGCCAGCCTGGATCCCATTGTCCTTTTATTAGTGCTCTTCAGTGAAATGGAATTAATAAAGTGTATATTTGCAACCTTAGCTGATAAAAAATTTGGCTCATGCAATGATTGTGGCTGAGAAGTTTCATAATCTGCCATGATGACATAGATAACAAGGAAAGCCAGTGGTGTAGCCTGAGAATCACATGAGGGACTAAATCCAATTCAAGGGCAGCAGGACATTGCTGTTCTGGTTCAGACAGTCAGGGAAGGAGAATGAATTTATTCCCTTTATTCAACTTGCATTTATGTTTCGATAGAGTAGTTGATATTCACACTGCAGAGGGCACTCTCCTTTACTGAGCATACTAATTTAAACAAAAACCTCCCATGGAATCACCATAATAGACATGCACAAAAATAGTGTTTATTATGTATCTCATACCTCAGTCCAATAATCATGTAATGTTAACCATCACAATATATTACTAGTTAAATGCCATCTAGCAGATTGCCTTTGACTTTTCCAAGACTAATGAAGGGGGTCATCTTTTTAAGAATGCTCTTTCTGAATCAAGAGCTCGATACTGGAATCAATTTTGGACTGGTGATATCTTTTTATCGTTCTAGGACTCAGCTGCATAGTGAGGAGAGTGTCATGTTGAAGAAGTTCTGGCATAATCTGGGATATAGCCATAATTCTGTTTACCTGTGACTTTAATTTATGGTTTAAACGACAGTCTAACTTCTAATGAAAAGAAGCAGCAGTCATTTCTTAAACTTCTCCAACATACATGTTTTTGTCTTAGATCAGTATTTTTTAAAGTAGCATCATTTCTTTAGGAACACCAGGACAGCATATTATATGCATATACTCAGAAAAGCTACGACAAGTAACTGTAGGCAATTGCTCTCTGCTTGTTGCAAGGAGGTAGCGAGACAGCACAAAAATGAAGGCTGGCTTGAATTGGCTGTGGTGGGTGAAGTGAGTGACTCTGATGTGTTCCTGGCTCATTTCCCTTTAGTTGCTGCCTGATTTGGACAGTTTCAATGGCTCTCTGTGATGCTCCATATAGAAGCAGAAAACCACTCCAAGCCTACATGCTCCCAGTATTGCCTGAGTCATCATCGAACATCCTGACCTTTCCAGTAACCTTGCTGGCACAGCAAATCAGCCAGGAAACAGGTAAGCAACCTGCCTCCAAAGCTGGCAAACACACATGTTTTGATAAAGTTATTGACATGTTCCACGGACTCTAACTACCCACACCCCATTTTTTTATTTTCTGGGGCTTCAAAATTGTTTTTGGAATGGCAAAAGATTTTCTTTTCTTGATTTGAACTTTGTTTCGGGTTGGTTCCAATGCAGGACTCAAGGAGACAACCACTTCTGAGGGAAATCTGAATTTTCATGGTCTAGGAGTTTATTCAGATGTATTTAACATGAGTTTTCTTCCAGGGATTAGATTTTAAATGTAGACTCTAATTTAAAGAACATACCCATGGTGAATGTATTTCTTGTAAAACTGTCATTACGGAATGTTTTTAAACATAGAAATGTAGACTTCATTAAATATGAGACACATAGGTCCTTCAGGAAGGATGTTGCACCTAGCATACTCTAGGCATCTACTGATGACCACAGTTAAAAATGTGAGATCTGAAGGAGCTGAGAGAACGGACAAATATTGTGTTTTGAGCAGTAAAGGGAGTCTCTTTAGCCACTGATGTTTCTGATGTAAAATGTTTCCACTTATAACTTTTGTATTTTTGTAAAATGTTTCTTGCTGGTGTCTCAATAGTAAGTAAAGTATGCTTCTAATCTACATTTTATTTTGTTGCAATTACCAAATACAGTAAATAGAAGGGCTGTCTAGGCAGGAGTACCATACTTTTGTGGTATCAGCTGGTGCTGTTTGAATGTGATAAGCAAAATTGATACTACTGTCAATGAGTTGGAGAGTGTTATGGATTTGGGGATAAAGGGCTGAATTTTCTAATCAAACAGTTTAAGATATCTGCTTATTGTCTAGTTGTTGTATGGGCATGGCTGATTTTTCATGAATTAATTTTCTTTCTTTCTTTTTCTGAGACAGGGTTTCTCTGTATTGCTTTGGAGCCTGTCCAGGAACTCTTTCTGTAGACCAGGTTGGCTTCGAACTCACAGAGATCCATCTGCCTCTGCTTTCTGAGTGCTGGGATTAAAGGCGTGTTCCACCAATGTCCAGCTCATGGATTAATTTTCAGCAGAAACCCTTGAAGCTGCTAAAATTTCCTCTTCCATAGCTCTATAATTAAATGAAAGATGTATAGGGGAGTATGGAATCTGTGATTTTAGGAAGTTGAAATGGTAGATATAGTAAAATAATAGTTGTTTTTCTGCGTTACTATGTTTGAGACAATCCCACTTTTGGACCAAGCTAGCTATATAGTCTTGACAGATGTCAAGCTTTCCCTTCTCCTACCACAACATCCCAAGTGCTGGGATTATAGGTGTGTGCAACACACATGGCTCCTATGAAGCCTTAAACAGAAGTTTCCATGTAGTGAAATCTTTAAATGAAACATTGATACTTTCTTCTTTTGAGAAGTCATCATTTCACGTTTTTGGGTAATATAAAAATATCAAAATCACCCTCTATCCATAAGACAAAAAATGGAATGGTGGTTACCAGGTGCTCAGGAGAGGGGTAGATGGTGGGATCTTGGTAGAAGCATATGAAACAGGAAGAATAAATGCAGGGAATACATTGCACAATGTGGAAAAACAATGTGCTGGACACTTAAAAACTGCTGAGAGCACATCCTGTCTGGCAGCACCTGCCAGAACTCTAAGTGGAGGCCCTTCCTGCTGGATAGTTTTGGAGAAGACACATTATCTTGGTTTTTGGATTTTTTTTGTTGTTGTTGTTGCTATGTTGGGACTTTGGCACTGTGAGTTTCTTGGCTCTCTCTCTCTCTCTCTCTCTCTCTCTCTCTCTCTCTCTCTCTCTCTCTCTCTCTCTCTCTCTCTCACCTTTTTCCTCTCCACGGAGATTCCTACAATGATCAGAAGGAGACTAAGTCACAATAGGATTGGGGTGTTACTCCACAATCCCTGCCCCTGCTGAGAATCAGTTGCTGTCTGTAATAGCAGTCATATTCCAGGGCCAGCACACTCAGTTCTATTACCTGCCTCTGTCAACAGGAGCTGTGTGTCCCCTTGCAACTGGAAGCCCTTATCCAGTCAGCTTCAGAATGCTACCAACTTCTGTAGCTTTGCTACATGTTGTGGCTGTCTGTGCAGACAGGTGTCCTACCATGACTCTACCTTTGCATAGTTCCAACCTTTGCCATATCCATGGTGTGTTGAGAGTAGGTTTTATATATTCTCATTAGAAGAAATGTATGTGAAATAGAAGATATATTATGTTCATCAGGCTATCTACAATACATATGTTGGCACATGACATTACACACTATAAATATATATGTATATACAATTTTTGTTTGCCAACTTAAAGAAAAGAATAAGGCAAGAAAGAGGGATGGAAGGAAATAGTGAAGAAAGGACAGAAAAGAGAAGAGTGAGGGAAAGAGAAATTATTGGATACAATTTCAAGTTTTTCTAAATATAAACATTTTCATAAGTACATGAAAGTAATACTCAAGACAGCTATTTGGCTTTAAATATTCACCATTGTCTGTTTTATTGTGTTTTCTACATCATGCATTTTCTTTTTCAATTCTGGTTTTTATTTTCAGAATTTCACACATGCTTAGAATGAAATATGATCATATCCACCCCTATTTCATCCATTCAGCTGCACTTTCAGTAATGTTTTCCATGAGAGGAAATAGAGCTTAACATGGCATGAGTTTAACTGAGAATAAAAGAACACATTGTTATTGTGCATTAATACTATTCTCCAGCAATTCTGTTCAGAATAACCTGGGGTTGGGTACGAAGAAGTAGTGTCAGACTACAAAGAGATTCAGTCTTTCTAAACAGTTCTGGGGTCAACCAGACCAACAAATATCCATATTTTCCATTACCTAGCTTTTATTTAAGTTGTGCACTTAAAATAAATGAGATACCTCCACATCCTGCCACACCACAAAGCAATCATGAACCAAAAGAATGAGAAAGAGGCCATTTGGGCAAGGATGTACAATCCATGGACGAGGGTAAGATGAACTATTTATTATGTACATTTACCATGCAAATGATGGAGCCTCCAGAGTAAGGAGTACAGTGACCGTCAGAAACATTTAGGGAAATATTTTTCTACCACTCCTATCACTCCCTTTTTCTTGCTCCATCTCCCATTAATCACAGCAGAGTAGATATTTCTCCTCGGTCTTTCTTAGTGCACAAGAGAGTTTTGTGATGGACACCAACATATAGAGGGGAAGGAAGATGTTTGAGAGTTTGAGATTATAGCATACCCTTCCCCTGGATGGAAAATTTGTGGAAAGTAAACAAAGAAATGAAGGCAATGCATCTTAAGAATATGACTAATATGTGCAAAATTAAAACACTGGGTGGGACATTAGGGTCTATGAAAGCTGAATACAATATGATCTTGTAATAGTATGTTGTTTCTGGCTGAAATTGGATCAAATTTATCTATAACTTGCAGAAAAATTTATCCTTTTATCATATCCCAAGAATATAGTGTAGATCTTTTCATTTCCTCCCTTTACTCAATTTTATGGAATTCTATAGAATCTGTATTTTTTCATCTAGAATTGTTGTTAACTGGGTTTTTAGGCATTTTTCTTCTCAATTTCCATTTCTCAGTGACAATTTTGTTTTTGAAATATAGTCATGGCTTTGACATGAATTTCTTCTCTTTCATGAAATGCCTGTAATTGGAAGAATTGGTCCTTTCACAGTGTCCCCAAACTTACTGAATTTAAATATTATTTTCTTGAGTGGTGCAATTCTTCTTTATCTGGTATTCTATCTTCTGTTTGTTCATTTTAATGGTAAGGCTCTCCTGTCAGTTTCTTAACTGGGTTATTGAGGTTTTCAGTTCCATCTTAATTTCAGCTTGAGTTCTCTTCAATATTCTTATCTCTTTAGTTTTCAGATCATAAATAGTTTCCCCCATTTCTTTCAGCCACATGTATGTTTATATTTTCTTGGACATCACTCAGGTATTTATTGTTATCCTCTTTATGTTCATTGAGGTGTTTGTTCCTGTATCCCTAAGCTCCTTGAGTTCTTTGATGAAGTTTGTGATGGTTCTTTTAAATTATTTTGTCCTGGGAATCATCTGGGTAATTCCCACTAGAGAATATTTCTGTAGGACTAGTGAGGATTTTATGGGAAGTGGTATGATTATAATGCCTTGGCCTTTCATGTTGTTTGTGTTTTTACAATATGACCTGGGCATGTGAACTTCTTTTATTGGTTGTGTGTCTGTTATGGGAATCTATTCTGCCTTAAGTTTGGGAGTGCAGGAACAATATGCCGAGAGCTGTGTTTGTAGGCATGGTGTCACACAAGATTCTGGGGGCATTTAGGCAAATCAGATACATGAACTATGTGATCAGAGCTAGGTTTGAGTGGGGCAAAGTCTTGGACTGACTTGTTTCCACAGAACTAATGAGTTCACACTGTCTTTTGAGACAAGGTCTCTCTCTGAACCAGGAGATGATTGACTTGGCAGGAGTAGCTGGCCAAGGGAGATCCGTGGGACTCAGCTGTCCCCTTTCTCCCCTGCTAGGATTGCAGGCACTACACCACTGTGTCTGATGTCGCGACCGCCTCGACCAGCAAGGAAGACGCGACTCGGCAACTCTTCTCCAAGCGGTTTATTCAGGAACCTTGAAACAGTCTTCTTCTCCTTCGGGGAAAGCCAGTCCACAGCTTATATGACCTAGGCATAGCCAACCCTAGCATGCCACTTGGCCATAGCAGATAGGTACACACACACACACACACACACACACACACACACACACACACACACACACACACGGAAGCAAGCCATGGACCCGAGCCTTGACCAAATATGGAGTTGTTTACTCCGAGAGGGCTCACCGTTGGGAGGGTGGTAGGCGGAAGCCAGCGCCATCTTTAAGGCACGGCATGTCGCAGCTCTCCACAGTCTGACATTTTGTGTGGGTACTGAGCATTTGCTGTGTACCAAGCACTTTACTGATAGAATTATTTTCTCCAATGTCTAGGTTAACTAGGATAAACATTGTAAAGTGCTTGGATAAGGTTTTGAATATAATTACTTTGATCAAAGTGCTATAGGACGCAGATGCAGCTGAAAGTATCTGAATGAGGCTTTTGGTACTTAACCCACATTTCTTTCATTAGAGAAAACACCAGACTTCAAAGATGCTTTCTCTTTAGAAGAGAGGAGTTGAGCAGTTTATGTTCTCACCATGAAGAATATTTTGTGCTTATATATGAAACATCTAGGGGTGCAGCCAAAAGATCCTTGCCTCTATAGAAGACTTTTATTTTGTTTTGACCTGGCAAAATATTGACTTGGAAAAACAACTCAGGAACTCTTGTGCCAATGTGAATGTGTATCCTTTGTCTTGTCTGTTCTTGTCTTTCATTCACGTCTTCAGAAATACAAATATGGCATGTAGTAGCTAGTAAGTCATTGCTTTGCCCTCTTCATTAAAGAGAACAATAATAGCTATAAAAATGTAAAGGTATGATATTACAGAGAGCACAGATGTTCAAGTGTAGGGGATTTTTTAGAAGTGAAGATGTCTAAGAGAATATTTTAAAAATGAAAATGTAATCACAAAGCAGAACTACTGGAAAAAGCTGTTTCTTTGCTTCCGGAATTCTCGAGTCAGATGGTTGAGGTGAGAGGGTTACATGCTTTTTTGAGAGAGAAAGTAAATATGTTTTCAAGCCCGTGGTGTAGATTTCTTACTGATCGGGAATAAATCATATCCTTTTGGCTTTATGATGAAATATTATATAATAGAAACTGAAAAAGAAGTCAGAGTTAAGTTGCTCCCTAGATTAAATTGACCTAGCAGATAGCTATATAATACTCCACCCAACATGTGTAATGAACACACCCTCCTCTGTGCCTCATGGAACATTCTTCAGGAGAGAACAGATTCAAGGCCACAAAACAGGTCTCAGCAACACAAAGAACACCGAAGCCACTTTGAATATCTTTTCTGACCCAAGTACAATAAAACCAGAAGGAAACAGAAGACAAACTGAGGAGGGAAGAGAACAACTGGACAACGGGAGGAAATTTTTTCGAACTGTGCTTCCTACAGTTAATGCTCCAAATATATAGGGGTTAAAAACAAAGCCTCTCAATAACATTGAAAACAATCTTTTTTAAAACAGGTAATTGAAATTTCCTAAAAGCAGGACAAACAGTGGCAAACAGACACATGAAAAAAATGCCAACTGTCAGTAATTACCAGGAAAATAATGAAAACCCTGCTGAAAGATCATGTCACTGGTCATTTCATATTTATTCATCACAGAAAAAATCCATCAGGATGAAGTCTCAATTCTTAACATCTATGTCCCAAATACAAAGGGTCCTTTATTCGTAAAAGAAACATTACTAAAACTCAAATCACACATTAAACCCCACACACTTATAGTGGGAGACTTCAACACCCAACTCTCACCACTAGACAGGACCACCAGACAGAAACTTTAAAAAGAAACAAAAGAACTAACAGAAGTTAAGACACAATTGGGTTAAATAGATCATTCCATTCAAACACAAAAGAATATACCTTCTTCTCACCACCACATGGAACCTTCTCTAAAATCTACCACATAATTGGCAACATAGCAAACCTCAACAGATATAAAAAATAGGAATAACCTCCTGTATCTTATCAGACCACCGTGTGTTAAAATTAGAATTCAACAACAACACGAATTGCAGAAACCCTACAAACTCATGGAAATTGAATAATGCTCAACTGCACCATTCCTGGGTCAAAGAAGAAATAAAAAAAGAAATTAAAGACTTCCTAGAATTCAATGAGAATGAAGACACAACATACACAAACCTATAGGACACTTTGAAAGCAGTGCTATGAGGGAAGCTCATAGCACTAAGTGCCCACATGAATAAACTGGAGAATAGTTATACTAGAGAATTAACAGCACAACTGAAAGTTCTAGAACACAAAGAAGCAAACTCATCCAGAAGGAGTAGACCCCAGGAAATAATCAAATTGAGGGCTGAAATCAATAAAGTAGAAACCAGGAAAACAATACAAAGAATCAATATAAGGAAGACTTGGTTCTTTGAGAAAATCAACAAGATAGACAAACCTCTATCCAAACTTACAAAACAGCAGAGTGTGAACATGCAAATTAACAAAATCAGAAATGAAAAGGGGGACATAACAACTGACACTGAGGATATTCAGAGAATCATCAGATCATAATTTGAAAAACTGTACTCCACAAAATCTGAAAATCTAAAGGAAATGGACAATTTTATGGATAGATATCACTTGCCAAAATTAAATCAAGAAGAGATAAGCAATTTAAATAGGCCTATAACCCCTAATGAAATAGAAGCAGTCACCCAACATCTCCCAATAAAAAAAAAAAAACCAGGGGCAGATGGTTTCAGTGCAGAATTCTACCAGAAATTCAAAGAAGAGCTAATACCAATACTCCTCGAATTGTTCCACACAATAGAATCAGAAGGTTCATTGCCAAACTCTTTTGATGAGACTACAATTACATTGGTACCCAAGTCACAAAAAGACACAACTAAGAAGAACTATAGACTAATATCGCTCATGAACACTGATGCAAAAATACTCAATAAAATACTGGCAAATGGAATCTCAGAACACATCAGAAAAATCATTCACCATGATCAAGTAGCCCTCATCCCAGGGATGCAGAGATGGTTCAACATATGAAAATCCATCAATGTAATCCACCATATAAGCAAGCTGAGAAACAAAAATTACACGATCATCTCACTAGATTCTGAAAAAGCCTACAACAAAATCCAACATCCCTTCATGATAAAGGTCCTTGGAGAGATCAGGGATAACAGAAACATACATAAACATAATAAAAGCAATATACAGCAAACCAACAGCCCATATGAAACTAAATGGAGAGAAAATCAATGCGATTCCTCTAAAATCAGGAACAAGACAAGGCTGTCCACTCTCTCCATATCTCTTCAAAATATTACTTGTAGTTGTAGCTAGAGTAATAAGACAACAAAAGAAGATCAAGGGGATACAATTTGGAAAGGAAGAAGTTAAACTTTTACAATTTGCAGATGATATGATAGTTTACATAATTGACCAAAAATTCTACCAGGGGACTCCTACAGCTAATAAACACCTTCAGCAAAGTGATATGATACACGATAAGCTAAAGAAATCAATAGCCCTGTTATATACAGACGATAAATGGACTGACAAAGAAATCTGAGAAACATCACCCTTTACAATAGCCACAAACAACATAAAATATCTTGGGATAATGCTAACCAAAAACAAGTGAAAGACCTGTGTAGTAAGAATGTTGAGTCTTTAAAGAAAGAAATTAGATACCAGAAAATGGAAATATCTTCCATGCTCTAGGATAGGATCAACATAGTAAAAATGGCAATCTTGCCAAAAGCAATATACAGATTCAATGTAATTCCCATCAAAGTATAGACAGGTAGACTAACATTAACCCACATACCTATGAACACTTGATTTTTGAAAAAGAAGCTAAAATTATACAATGGTAAAAGAAAGCATCTTCAGCAAATGGTGCTGGCATAACTGGATGCTGGCATGTAGAAGACTGCATATAGATCCATATCTATCACCATGTACAAAACTTAAATCCAAATATTAGGGTTTTCAATTCTATTTCATTGGTCTACCTGTCTATTTTTGTGACAATATTAAGCTGTTTTTTTCAGGACTATAGCTCTATAATAGAGCCTGAAGTCAGCAATGATGATGCCTCTGGAAATTCCTTTATTGTACATAGTTGTTTTGGCTATCCTGGGTCTTTTGTTTTTCTATATAAAGTTGAATATTATTCCTTCAAGGTCTGTGAAGAATTGTATTTTGATGGGGATTGCAGTTTAAAAAGAAATCTGGCACTAGGGAAATGTCCAGTGATTTACAAGTCCAGTGACCCCAACTAAGAATCTAAGCAATAGTAGAGAGGCTACCTTAAACACTCTTCCCTGATAATGAGATTGATGACTACCTTATATGTTATCCTAAAGCCTTCATCCAGTAGCTGATGGAAGCAGAAGTAGACATCCAAAGCTAAACACTGAGCTGAACTCCTGGAATCCATTTGCAGAGAGGGGAAGTGATGTGCCAAGGGTTCAAGACCAGGCTGGTGAAACCCACAGAAAGAGCTGAACAAGGGGGAGCTTATGGGACCCAGAGTGATAGCTGGGAAACCAGCATAGGACTGACCCAGAACCCTGATTGTGGGTGTCAGTTAGGAGGACTGGGCAGTCTATGTGCCCTCTGGTAGTTAATCAATATTTATCCCTAGTGTCCAAATGAACTTTGGGAGCCCATTACACATAGAGGGATATTCTCTCAGCCTAGGCCCTGCTCCAAGTGATATGAAAGACTTTGAAGATCCACCATTGAAAGGCCTCACCCTCTCTTGGGAGCAGAAAGGGGATGGGATAGGGGGTTGGTGGGGCAGGGGAGGAGGGAGGTAGTGGTAACTTGAATTGACATGTAAAACAAGCTTGTTTCTAATTTTAATTTTAAAAAAGAGAACAAAAAGAATGATGGCTTTAAAAATGAGGCTGAAAATAGTTTCTGGAAATAATATCGAGAAAAGAGAGCATTGAAATGTAAGGTAGTATTCTTTATGGTAAACAGTATAGAACATGCTTTAACAATTAATGGGGCTATCATAGGCATCCAAAGAAAATGAAGTCAGGGTATCAGTTGTAACAATATTCACAGTAGCCGATAAATAAAATAACCCAAGTGTCTATGTCAGCTGATAATTGGACAAAGACAATTTGATAGACGTAAATGATAGAATACTGTTTATCCACAGAGAGAATGAAGTCCTGCCATTTGGGACAGGATTATGCTAAGTAAAATAATCCAGGCATAGAAAGATAAGCACCAGATGATCTCATTTGTGGTTAGAATTTTAAACAGCTGACCATCGCAGAAATTAAGAGCAAATGTAGGCTACTAGAGGAGGGATAGTTGGTTGCTAGGAGAAGCTGATCTGTGCACTGAGCCACAGTTTTGTAAGACTGAGAAACTGAGATGCCTTTAGAGTTTCACCAGAAAATGACAATATACCATATATTTTTAGATGCCTTGGAATGTTTTTACTATTAAATGATAAATATTTGAGGTGATACACATTAGCATGTATTGAAACATCACATGGTACTACATGAAGATGTGCAATTTTTATCTTTTTATGTATGATAAACTTAAAAGGAAAACACTCAGGTCTAACTTCAGGTGAATTAAGTGGCTCTGAAATGGGTCATGTACTTTTTGTGCCAGCCTCTTAAATATCCTCCAGGTGACTGTCATGTGCAATTAAGATAGAGAACCATTTCCCTACCCCGGCTATATCTTGAGAGACAGCATTTGCCTAATTGTCTCGGAGAGCGTTCAGGTGTTATGTTGCCGATATTGACCACAGCATCTCCTGGTTATATAACTGGGCACATGAGAGCTGGGCAGCATATTCTAGCTGCCAAACATCTGGCCAACCTCACACACCGAACTCTGGTGAGTGCTCATTGAGACAGGATCCCTGTCACAAGAAGGTGTTATTCCTTTCTGAAGATTTATTAAAGGCAACAATGATTTCATGAATTAGATGGTGACCATTTTTCCTTTGATCAACTAATGTGATATATTAATAATTCTTTAATGAAATACTTTTTGCATTACTGGGATAAAACCAGTTATGTCATCATGAATCAGTCTTC